AACCAAAAGTGAAGAAACAATGACTTCTGTTATAGAACTCCATTATGATGATGATAACATATTGTTGAAGGCTTTCATGGATGGAATCACTGGGTTCTTTTAGGTTCTTCGGGCTATATGTCCATGTTCTAGACCTCACAACCTCTGAGGATTCCTGCCATAGATGCAAGCGAAATGTCAGGATAGATAGCTTCTAGAACATGGACATACTGCATAGCCCAAAAAACCTTCAAAAACTTGATGATAACACAGTTTGTGCTCATTCAGGACCTCATTACATGGAGAAATTTTCCCATCGTAAGACATTTGAGCTGCTTTTCAAGCATGGAGAGGCATGGAGTCCATCACATAATGTTTCAGCACTTCTGGCCATCATGCATAGCTCCCTGCCCTTGAAATGTATTTATTATTATTTATTTATTTGCGGTATTTGTATACTGCCCTTCTCAACCCTGAAGGGGATTCAGAGTGATTCACAGTGTTGGGAACAATTCAATACCTTTGATAAAAAACAGTATAAAACATCAAAATTGATCCTCCCCTGATAAAACATTTGAACATTAATCATCCCACGAGGAGGAAACTCTGAACCCAGAAAACAATCTAATTCATGTCAATACCCTTTCAACCTCTTGTCTGTGTTGTCAAAGGCTTTCATGGCTGGAATCACTGGGTTGCTGTAAATTTTTCAGGCTGTATGACCATGTTCCAGAAGCATTATCTCTTGACATTTCACCTGCCTCTATGGCAGGCATCCTCAAAAGTTGTGAGATCAACAGATGCCTCCCATAGATGCAGGTGAAACGGTAGGAGAGAATGCTTCTGGAACATGGCCATAAGCCCAGAAAACCTACAGCAATCCAAACTCATGTCTAGTTTTACTATTAGTTTGAGATGAGGAGATAACCTGCTGATCTATCTTAAAACTATGCCACGTAGTACTCAGGAAGAAGAAATTTTATGACAGACTGGCTGGAGTGGGAGACTAGGCACAGGAGAAACAGGCAGGAAAGAGCTGGTTGGAGTGGAGAGAATGAAAAATGTGCATGCACACACATAAAGAACAAGAAAAGCAAGAAACAGAAGAAGAGATAAACAGTCAAGTTGATTGTAGATGGGTATATGAGTCCTTTAAACACTTCCCGGATATTTTTATTTGTGTGTTTTTCTCCAAAACCAAACAGACAATATAACCTTTTGAGAACTGAGATTTCAATATTTTTCTGGTTAGAACTGGTGTACAACCCGAGAGTGCTCTTAGATCTGATGTGCTCCCTAATTAATATGTGGTCAGCTTTGTCTTCCTTCAGTTCTTTCTACTGAAGGCAGAGTAATTTTTCTTTTTATAATGAACAATGAATTTCTTATGTACTTGAATTATAGCTAGTGGTTGCACTTGCAGGCCCATGCCTGGCATACCCAGTAATTAGACAACCAGCTGTGTCTTTTGTAGAGGTTGCTTTATTGGTTCACTGGGCTGTAAAGCCTGAAGGCACAGAGGCAAATTGAGAGCCCCTAACTTCAGAGCATTATAGCTTATATGCTTTTTAAAATCTTCATCATGGGCAATCACTCATGGCTGAGTATGCATTCCAAGGGTAGAGTCTTGGTGGTGAAGACTTGGTGGTGACTGTAAAGCCCTATTCTGGACCCACCTGGTCCTTCACATTGAGGACATGGTTTTCCAGATGGAAAGCAGTCACAATTGGCTTGATGGGGCTTCCTCTTGGCATGTTTCTTCCTTTCAACCTGTATTTGTGCCCCTTCAAAATCCATAGCACTATTGGTAACAGCTTATTTTATTTGTTGTGTCAGGCCAACCAGTCAATTGTATTACATTTCTAACAGAACAAACAAACAAACAGACAAAATACAAATTTTGCGAGTTTGGTAGTTGATTAAATGTCCTTTGTAGCTGGCCACTTGGAGTGCTTCTGGTGTTGCTGCAAGAAGGTCCTCCATTGTGCATGTGGCAGGGCTCAGGGTGCATTGGAGCAGGTGGTCAGTGGTTGCTCTTCTCCACACTCGCATGTCGTGGATTCCACTTTGTGGCCCCATTTCTTGAGGTTGGCTCTGCATCTCGTGGTGCCAGAGCGCAGTCTGTTCAGCTTCCAAGTCGCCCAGTCTTCTGTGTGCCCAGGGGGGAGTCTCTCATTTGGTATCAGCCATTGTTTGAGGTTCTGGGTTTGAGCCTGCCACTTTTGGACTCTCTCTTGCTGAGGTGTTCCAGCGAGTGTCTCTGTAGATCTTAGAAAACTATTTCTTAGATTTAAGTCATTGACGTGCTGGCTGATACCCAAACAAGGGATGAGCTGGAGATGTCACTGCCTTGGTCCTTTCACTATTGGCTGCTACTTCCCGGCGGATGTCAGGTGGTGCAATACCATACAGTGTAATTTCTCCAGTGGTGTAGGGCGCAGACACCCCGTGATAATGCGGCATGTCTCATTAAGAGCCACATCCACTGTTTTAGTGTGGTGAGATGTGTTCCACACTGGGCATGCATACTCGGCAGCAGAGTAGCACAGCGCAAGGGCAGATGTCTTCACTGTGTCTGGTTGTGATCCCCAGGTTGTGCCAGTCAGCTTTCGTATGATATTGTTTCTAGCACCCACTTTTTGCTTGATGTTCAGGCAGTGCTTCTTGTAGGTAAGAGCATGGTCCAGAGTGACTCCCAGGTATTTGGGTGCGCTGCAATGCTCCAGTGGGATTCCTTCCCAGGTGATCCTCAGAGCTCAGGATGCTTGTCTGTTCTTGAGATGAAAGGCGCATGCCTGTGTTTTGGATGGGTTGGGGATCAACTGGTTTTCCCTCTAATAGGCAGTAAGAGCACCTAGAGCTTCTGTTCTACCATCTCAAAGCTCCCTGCTTGAGTGGTAATGGCACGATCAGCAGCATAGATGAAACTCTCTGTCCCTTCTGGCAGTGGCTGGTCATTTGTGTAGATGTTGAACATGGATGGGGCAAGCACGCTCCTCTGAGGCAGGCCGTTCTTCTGTTTCCGCCATCTACTTCTCTAGCCCTGGAACTCAACAAAGAAGCTCCTGTTTTTTTGTAGCAGGTTTCCTATGAGGCGGGTGAGGTGGTAGTCCTTTGTGATATTATACATTTTTCTCAGGAGGAGGCAGTGGTTCACAATTTCATAGGCTGCTGACAGGTCTATGAAGACAGCTCCTGTGATCTGCTGCCTTTCAAAGCCATCTTCTATGTGCTGAGTCAGGTTCAACACTTGCGATGTGCAGCTTTTGCTTTTCCTGAAGCCAGCTTGCTGTGGGATCAGACATGGGTCTATTTTTTCCGTCGTTCTATGCAAAATAAGACTCTCCAGGACTTTGTAGAGGTGGCACAAAAGGGAGATTGGTCTGTAGCTTTTTGGGTCATTACTGTCTTTGCCTGGCTTCAAGATGGCGATGACTCTTGCTTTCCTACAGATTTTGGGGGTCTGACAGGATGCTGTGCAGTTGTTCATCAGCTCCAGCAGCCAGGGCCTTGCTTTTGGGCCAAAGTTCTTGATTTGTTCCATCCGTAGATCATCCAGGCCAGCTGCTTTGCCATTTTTACATTTATTGAGAGCCATGTCCAATTCAGTAGATGTAAAATGTTCATGAAGGTTGTTGTTCTCAATCTCTGATTGTCTGGTTATTGGTTTCTTTCCTACTTTGGTGGCAAGGTTGGGTTTCCCATTTTTCAAGAGTTGGTGTGCTATCTGATCTGCCTTTATGTTGGCATGGGTATTAGTTTGTGAGGGGTCGTTGCTCAACCGTCTTAGCAGCCTCCACGCCTTCTGGCTGCTCCTGTCCATGTCAACCTCTGTGATCAGCTTTATCCACTGTTCTTTCTTGGCTTCTGAGATGGAGGACACAATGCTCTGCGCTGCCTGAAGGATTTGCTCACTAAATGGGTCTTTGTTGTGGAGCCTGTAATAGTTTTCCAACAAGGCAGCTGTTTCAGGAGTAATGCCCTGAAGGTAGTTGGTTCTGCAACCTCTCGAGGCCCTTGAGCAGGTTTTCACTATTTCAATAAAATGCTCGTATTCCTAAGGGATTGGCACGGCTGATGTGATCATGCCATCTAACATGTCTGAGAATTTAGTCCAATCTGCCTTTCTGAAGTTGAATCTTCATTTAAATCAAACTTCCTGAGGCCTTATTGTTGGGAACAGTTGGCATACTATTGGTCGGTGCTGTGTGTTTGGGATTGGTGGTCTCACTGATAACAGCTGGCAACAGCTGACCTTCAGTTACAATGCTCAAGTGCCAAGGCTTCAAGTTCTTGGTGTTTATATCAAAAAATTCTGGGTTATATGGTTGTGTGGAAGGGCCCTGAGTCACTAGAGAAAAAAAAACCCATGTGAACTAGCCTATGAAGATCATCAAAAAAACAGCAAAGCAAGGGAAAGTTGCCTTAGTTTAAATGGCTATTTATTTTCATGGATGTGACCGATTATTGTTTGGCAAAATTAAAGCATTTTGTAAAAACCATATCAAAAAATGTAGGAAGAACAGGGCAAATCAATAGGGCAGCACTTCCTATATTTGTGCCATAGGAGGCTATCAAAAAGCACACAGTCAAATGTGATTTCAATTTCAAATGTCACTCTGAAACTACACTAAAATGGATCTGGATAATTTACAACATCTCAGTGCAACATTGCAAACATTTTTTTTTTGTAAAAGGAAGAGAAATATTTTGAGTCAAGGAAGTTGCATGATACTATCAGGGCAAAGAAAAGGTCAATATTTATCACTTATAACTTTGATTGGATCAGTCCCAGTCCACATACTCAGCAATTTTGAATGACTTTTACAGGAATCTCATACTTGCTTATCAAATTAGTCCCCATTGAAACAGAACGTATTTTAAAGCAAATTCTATCTCTATGTGTTGATTTCCAGAATGTTTTTTTTTTTTACAAAATCCCTGTTTCTAGGTGTCTTAGCTCAAAAACAACTGGGCTATATATTCCCAAGCTGGTGAACCTCTAATACAATTCTGCATCTATGCACGGAGCTGTAATGGACTTGTCCATTAACACTGTCATTTTCTTGACCCTTTCCTGCTGCCTCTGGGATGCAGATGCCCGAATAATCAATTTTATTCTCACTGTACCGAATGGAGGACCTTGGGGTGACTGGGGATTCGGTCAAACTTGTCATACAGGCCACGCCAATGCCTTCTCAATGAAAGTAAGTTACTTCTGTTTTTTCAGATCCTTGTGCCCATTAGATAATTTAGCAATAAATACATACAATGAAAATTGGAATCCCAAACATCTGGAAAACACCAAGTCTGGAAAACAAACTACTCTAATGTCATTGACCAGCCTGTTATGGGAAGGTCCCACAAGAGTATTGTCAAATGAACAATAAATACTAAAATATCCTATTTCATTAGTTTTGAACACTATTACATCTTGATATTATTTATGATATGCTTATAAAACTCATATATATTGATTTAGAATTTAAATAATTGTGGCCTACTTTCCAATTCCATCCAAACAAATCGATCCCTTCCTAACCAAAGAGAGGAATGTGTGCTAAATAAGTTTTAAAAAAATATTTTCCAAAGTGTTAAACTGGACTCTAAACTAAATCCAATTCTTGTTTCTTATTTTGACATCCCCTCCGCCCCCCGCAAATTCATTAAACATGACTATAATGGGATCCAAAACAGTATTACTATTCATTCGTGGATAAATCTGAGCAATGGGCTAGAAGCATCTACAGTTTTATCACTGTCTCTTTATTTCTTCTCCCACAAGATGCAAAAAAGCCAAGGACCGGGCGATGACACTGCCATGAATGGAATCCGCCTGTTCTGTACCAATGGGGAGGTTATTGAATCAATCTCTGGACCGTATGTATATGCCTTACTTCCTTTTTATTTCCCTTTATTATTATTATTTCTAAGATGGCATAGCTAAGACAATTTGTATTACGTGAGTTCAGCAGCACTCAAGGTTAAGCTTCAGTTCACTTAGCTTGCTCTGAACTTTCCAAACATCCCACTTATTACTCCTTTTTTGGCCTCTGGCATTTTTCACAAGACACTACTCAAGAAAACACAGTCTTGCCCAGTGCTATTGGATTCTTGCTCAGCCTCATACTCCAGAATGGGGTCACTGGAACTAACACAGAGACCTAAATGTTCCTATGCTTATTGCTATCTGTTCATCTGGTCACTATAAATAACTCCACAGTGACTGGGCAGGGATATTCCATTGTATGTGGTACTACCATTACAGAACATCATAGCAGTGGGTCTTATTGACCAACCCCTTCCTACACTCTTGTTCAAATCAAAAAATCCAGCTAGAGCAGACATGGGCTCTTTCCTCAGGCCCACTATCCTATCCTGCCTTCCATTTTTTCCTTCCTCCTTCCCTCCCCTTTCCCCCTTTCCAACCACCCTTTTGTTCTTCCTTCCTTCCTCTCTTTCCTTCCCTTTTTCTCCCTCTCAATTCCCTTCCACACTTTTGTCCTTCCTTCCTTCCTTCCTTCCTTCCTTCCTTCCTTCCTTCCTTCCTTCCTTCCTTCCTTCCTTCCTTCCTTCCTTCCTTCCCTCTCTCCTTTCTCCTTCCCGCCCTTCATTTCATCACTGGGCAGCCAGTCCTCCTAGCAGGGAGTGCTGCCATGCGGCCCCCAAGTTATAAAGTTCTCCAAGTTCTCTTTGCTGTAATGAGGTACCCAGAACTGAACATAGTAAGCAAATGAGGCCTGACAATGGGACAATTACTTGCAAATTACAATTATATTAATGCAGAATGAAATGGTATTTGCTTTCTCTGAAGCTACACCAAACTGCTGTATCATGAACTTATAAGCAAACACTTTTCAGACTGCATTCACATTTCCTGTGGTAGGGCAAAAATTTTACATTTGATTCTTTTAGCCTCAAAGACACTTTTTTTTACATTTGTTTAAATTAATTCTATTAGTTTCAGCCCAATTTTCTAGTTTATCGGGATCCCTTTACCTTCTGTATGACCTATAACTCTGAATTTTGTACCATTTGCAACGTCGATAAGGATTCCCTCCAACGCATCACTGCAGCCCTAATTTGAAATGTCATTGCCTACCAATGTGCTATGGCAGTGTTTCTCAACCTTCCTAATGGTTTTGTCATTTGGGAGTTGTAGTTGCTGGGATTTATAGTTAACCTACAATCAAATAGAATTCTGAATTCCACCAACGATGGAACTGAACCAAACTTGGCACACAGAACTCCCATGACCAACAGAAAATACTGGAAGGGTTTGGTGGGCATTGATCTTGAGTTTTGGAGTTGAAGTTCACCTACATCCAGAGAGCACTGTGGACTCAAACAATGATGGCTCTGGACCAAACTTGGCATGAATACTCAATATGCCCAAATGTGAACACTGGTGGAGTTTGGTTCTTGACATTTGGGAGTTGTAGTTGCTGGGATTTATAGTTCACCTACAATCAAAGAGCCCCACAAACCCCACCAACAATAGAATTGGGCCAAACATCCCACACAGAACCCCATGACCAACAGAAAATATTGTGTTTTCTGCTGATCTTTGGCGACCCCTCTGATACCCCCTTGTGACCCCCACCCCAGGGGTTCCACTCCCCAGGTTGAGAAACACTGTGGTATGGGATCTTACACTAAATTAAAACTGGGGGGAGGGGGGGACACAACCCTGTTCTTTATTGGCCTCCAGCCACTGAGTTCAAGCAACTCAGCAAAAAACATTATTTATCCTCTCGTGATATTCTCAAAGGCTTTGGGGCGGATGCTTATCCTTCTCTCGTTGACATCATTGTTTTATTTGACAGGTGGGGAGAATGGACAGAGATTCAGCGCTGCCCAAAAGGGAATCTAAAGTCTTTCTCCCTAAGAGTAGAAAAAAAGCTACTTGCTGGTGATGATACAGCAGCGAACAACATCGAGTTTTCCTGTGAAGATGAAAGTGTACTCACTGGTCATGGAACAGAATGGGGTGAATTTGGCCCAAAGAGTCTTCCTTGTCCCGCTGGCTCCATATGTGGGATCCAAACAAAGGTTGCATTGGACAAAGGAACTTTAGATGACACTGGACTTAATGATGTGAAGTTCTCTTGCTGTGATTAAACTATAAATGTGTTACCTCTTAGAACAAGTCATTTCCCAAAAAGTATGGCGACCAGCTTAGTTTTTCCAAGAACTTGCCAATAATCTTCTTTTTGACTTAGTGCTATTTGGTTCTCAAAGTAGCATATGAAACATTCTAGAGTCATGATGTGTAGTACTGATAATCAGGACATAGTTATGAACAAGGATGTCTTCCACCTAAATTACTGTTTATTGGAATAAAAAGGTCTTTCAATCAGTCTTAATGTGCCCTCTGTTCAATCATGGATTATCTGTAATTTTTACAGGTTCTCCATACTCTCCAAACAATACGTTACAGAATGCTTAAACTAGGTAAAGGTTTCCCTTTGACATTAATTCTAGTCGTGTCCAACTCTGGGGGGTGGTGCTCATCTCCATTTCTAAGCCAAAGAGCCGGCATTGTTGGGGGTATTTTATTTATTTATCGTGTCAGGGGCAACCAGACATTTGTATTACATTTCTAACAGAACAAAACAAACAAACATACAAAACACAAAATTGTCGGGGGTGCTTTGAATGCAATATTCCTGCTTCTTGGCAGTGGGTTGGACTGGATGGCCCGTGAGGTCTCTTCCAACTCTATGATTCTATTATTCTGATTGTCCATAGACACCTCCAAGGTCATGTGGCTGGCATGACTGCATGGAGTGCTGTTACCTCCCTGCAGAAGCGGTACCTATAGATCTATTAACATTTGCATGTTTTTGAACTGCTAGATTGGCAGAAGCTGGGGCTAACAGTGGGAGCTCACCCCATTCCCCAGATTCAAACTACTAACCTTTCAGTCAGCAAATTTAGCAGCTCAGTGGTTTAACCCGCTGTGCCACTGGGGGTTCCTTTCTCAAACTGTCTATGAAAATCGACATTTCTTCAGAAATGAGTTTATTATAATACTATCAAAATTCCTGATGAGTTTGAATAAAATTCAAATAACCACAATCTCACATTTGGATAGATTTATACTGCACATTTGTTCCCTGATCTCTCCATTCATCAGAATTGTAAAAACTTTTTCTAACAAGATATTCGAGCTCTGTTTGCTCCAGTAAAGAATAAATTCTGAGCTGCAATCACAGTTATGCTCAGAGTAACTATCCAACTTGATTTCCAGGGACTTACTAAGGTGATTCCAGAAGCTACAACCATTTTAACTTTTCCAACAGAAAACTATATAGTTTTTCCTGTAGCAAAGAAACACTTTCAAATCTTAAAAAGAATATTGAAACCCAGAGTAAATGCAATTATATCTGAGTGTGTATTCAGTCTTATTTTGCTTGCTGTGTTCCTTTCTTTTTAAGTTCAAATCAAAACAAATCATTTATTTCGGTCATTGACCAGCACAGATTTTTTAAGTTCACATGTGTGACTTATCCATCAAAAGAAATAATAATAATAATAATAATAATAATAATAATAATAATAATAATAAACTTTATTTGTACCCTGCTCCATCTCCCCAATGGGGACTCGGTGCGGCTTACATGCGGCCAAGCCCAAAACAACAATTACATGAAATAAGACAAAACCAAAAATGCAAATAATAAACAATAATAACGCAGTTACATAAAACAAAAGACAACATAGCAATATAAAATTACAATAAATACAATCACAATAACATGGGCGAGCTACATGTAATGGATAAAAGAAAACTGGGTAGAAACAGATTAAAAACTCAGGCAAGATAAACACGAGATAAACAAGGACAGATTATTTGCAGAGGAGAGCTCGTTTTAGTGGAGGTCGTGAAGCAAAGCTTTCCTATAGGGGGGAATGCACTCCAATAACAGAAACCATTAAAACTAAGCACTAGTATGAGGATGTAAATCTATTCATCAAGTGTGCAGCAGAAGAGCCAGGTTTTGAGGTTTTTTAAAAAGSTTTCTAGGATGCTTTAGTTAGAGGGTTAGTTCCAAAACTCTCATCAGAAAGAGAAGAAAAAGCATTCCTCTTAGGTGAGGAAAGCTCCTAGGCCAGTGTTTCTCAAGCTGGGGTTTGGGAAACTGGGAAGGGGGGGGCGTGAGGGAGGTCACGAAAAACCATCAGAAAGCACAGTAATTTTTGTTGGTCATGGGGGTTCTATGTGGGAAGTTTGGCCCCATTCTATCCTTGGTGGGGTTCAGAATGCTCTTTGATTGTAGGAGAACTATACATCCCAGCAACTACAACTCCCAAATGTAAAGTCTAGTTTCCCCAAACTCCACCAGTGTTCATATTTGGGCATATTGACTATTTGTGCTAAATTTGGTCCAGATCCATCATCGTTTGAGTGCACCATGCTCTTTGTATATAGGTGAACTACAACTCCCAAACTCAAGATCAATGCCCACCAAACCCTACCAGTATTTTCTGTTGGTCATGGGAGCTCTGTGTGCCAAGTTTGGTTCAATTCCATTGTTGGTGGATTTCAAGATGCTCTTTGATTGTAGGTTAATTATAAATCCTAGCAACTACAACTCCTAAATGACAAAATCAATCCTCCTCCAAACCCCACCAGTATTCAAATTTGAGCATGTCGAATATTTGTGCCAAATTTGGTCCAGTGAATGAACATGCATCCTGCATATCGAATACTATCATGACCAAAGTTTGTGACTGATAGCCATGTAGACTCCCCATGGGGAGAAAGGCCGGCTATAAATAAAGTAAATAAAAATAAATGAGTAAATAAATAAAGGCGTGTGTGATCAGGAAGGACACCTGAATTAGTTGTAGCATTGCTTTTTTCATGGCCTCTCAGAGACAACCCTCCTTAATCATAGGAAATACACTTTTTTTTGTCGTGTCAGGAGCGACTTGAGAAACTGCAAGTTGCTTCTGGTGTGAGAGAATTGGCCATCTGCAAGGACGTTGCCCAGGGGATGCCTGGATGAATTGATGTTTTTATCATCTTTGTGGGAGGCTTCTCTCATGTCCCCGCATGAAGAGCTGGAGCTGATAAAGGGAGCTCATCCGCCTCTCCCCAGATTGGAACCTGCGACCTGTTGGTCTTCAGTCCTGCCAGCACAGGGGTTTTACCCACTGTGCTTTATAATACATAATGGGCTTATCTTTTCCAATTTCTTTATGATGGTTAATACACAGGACATCATCTTGATTCCTGTGCTCATGTTTGTCATGTTAGGATTAAAGAGGTGCACTGGAGAAGATCAGAAAGTTCCTTTTCAAGAATTCCATTTCTGTACTCTGCTGTTCGTTGTCTAGATCTAGAATAACTATTTGTAACCTCTAAACCACATCTCAGAAAATTACAGTTTATCAGGTCATATGTGCAACTATTTTGCATATATTCTACCTAAAGTTCCCATAAACCATATGGTTTCATAAGCTTCTCCTTATCAAGTGAACCCATATCACCTGAATTTCCCAGAAACTTCATAGTTTCATAAGACCCTACTTATCCCTTGTTTAACCATTTCTGAGATGCAATGTGTATTTAGGGTAATGTGCAAACATTTCTCTAGCTCTCACAGTGTTTACTTATTTATTAATTAACTACATACTCTGCCTTTCTACTGAAAAGGATTTTCTAGTTTTCATATATGACTGAACTTAAATTTCTAAGCTATGGACCTTCAAAGCAATTGTTTTTCTGCTGAGCTGCTATTCCAAGATTAAAAGCAGTTGGCTTGCAATGGACCTCTCCATCTACACTGTCTTCAACTTGATCCTCTCCTGCTGCCTCTGGGATGCAGAAGCTCGAAATTATAACTCTATAATCACAGTGTCAAATGGAGGATTATGGGGTGTTTGGGGGGATGTTGATTTTTGTCCTCGAGGTTATGCACATGGTTTCTCACTAAAGGTAAGTACAGTAGATTCTTAGTTAACCAGAACTTGAGCAACTAGTAGTCTCAACCGGGAAAAAATAATAGTTGTAGAATGTAAGTTTAAGGTTTGTCTTTATTTGATTTTAATTCATGTATTTCAATATTAATATCAAGTACATACAGAGTTTATGGTATGGTACAGAATGGAGTTTAGTATTAGTTAGGCCTAATACTACACCCCAGAAAGTACATCTATTAACTGAGAGTCCACTGTATCTTTTCTTTTTACCGATTGTGATGATACCCTTTTAAGACGAATCAGAAAGTGCAAAATCAACTGTAATAATGTCCTCCAGATAGTTTCATCAGTTTCAGCTTGGTTTGTGGCTAGCGATTATGAGAATTGCAGTCTCAAGCAGCTGGAAAGCACTAGGCTAGATGTTACATTGCGATCCTGGGCAAGCCCATGTAACTGTTAAAAAGAAATTAGTATGGTAATTTTTTAAAGTAAATGTTGGGTGAGATGGGAAGGCAAAAATGGAGCATTGCATAATTCTAAAAAATATAGCATGCAAAAGGCCCAAGGCTTCATACTCAGAATGCCCTTCTCAAGTAAGTTACTAGTAGCAGTACAATCTGCTTTATGATTCTGAAGAATCTTGAATGCACAAACCTGGCACCCTTTCACACAACATAATTATGACACTATGATTCCTCTTTAACTTCCATAGCTGCATTTTACGAGATTCTGGGGTTTATAGTTTGATCAGACAGTATAGTTTTCCGGTTGAGTATTGCAAATGCCCCCTAATGTCCTAGGATTCCATAGGATGTTGCCACATTAGTTAAAGTGGAATTAAAGTACCATAACTGTGTAGTGTGAAGGGACCCCTGGGTCAGATGGCTTGACTCAGTGAACAACTTCCTCCTCTTCCTCCTCCTCCTCCTCCTCCTCCTCCTCTTTGCTAGCTACTCCATTCTACTCTTCTCCACTCAGATATCCTCTGTTCCAATTTTGCAGTGATAATCCCAATGAATAATCTGCAATCCCACTTTTTTGGGCCTGCTTTTATAACATCCCCATTTCTCTCTCTTTCTTCCACATAGTCAATTTATCCTTGGCTACTTCAGTTGACACCAACTGATTAAAATTGCAAAAGTAGGTTGTACTCCCTTAACTCAGCAGAGGGAAGAAGAGAGGACAGGGGAAGAATATTGCTAACCCGACAAGCAAACTGATGCAGCCTCTTTGTCAAGTAATTTTTAAAAATGTATTTGCATCTCAGCTCACCACTTTATATAAAGCAAATAAAAATAGATAAAACAAATAAAAATAAGCCCTCTTTCATAAAACCTATAACAATAAGAAAAGCTCTTCTTCTCTAAGGACAAAGCACCATATGAAACATTTTAGTTTGGGTTGTTCACTGAAAGAGTCTGATGGATGGAATAATAAATAATAAACTTTATTTATAGACCCACCTATCTCCCAGAAGGGATTCAAGGCAGATTCCAACAAATATGGCAAACATTCAATGTCCAAAGAAAAACCATACAAATAGTTTACATCAGGCCAAAACACGTTAGACAATAGAAAACAACATAACTATAACTTAATAATAAAAATAGAAAAAAGAAATAAAATAAAAATACAGTAAAAATCATAAAGGTAAAGGTTTTCCCCTGGCATTAAGTCCACTCATGTCCAACTCTGGGGTTTGATGCTCATCTCCATTTCTAAGCCAAAGAGCTGGCGTTGTCCGTAGACACCTCCAAGGTCATGTGGCCAGCATGACTGCATGAAGCACCGTTACCTTCCCGCCGGAGCAGTACCTATTGATCTACTCAAATTTGCATTGAGCATGTTTTCAAACTGCTGGGTTGGCAGAAGCTGGGGCTGACAGCGGAAGCTCACGCCGCTCCCCGGATTCAAACCTATGACCTTTTGATCAACAAGCTTAGCAGCTCAGTGGTTTAACCCACTGCACCACCGGGGGCTTCTAAAAATATCATAAAATACAAAAAAACCCAAAAAACAAAAACAAAACAAAACCCCAACAACCCCTTGATAAAACACACTAAAAATAAAATATAAAACCGAATACATCAGAGCTCCATCAGGTGAGGTTCAACAATAGCAATGGCCAGGAGTGGTAAAAATGGACCTAATCAATAAAAAAAAGGCTGGGCAAGGGATAGTACAAATAGCATATCATAGGGCTGGGGAAATGGATGAAGTGGACTATCTGGAATCCATCAGACTTCTGTGAGGAAGATCTACAACTGCAATGCCACAATGGAGAAAGTCCTGTGGATCCATTGAGATGTAGGGTGCACCTTCACTGTATTAATTAATTAATTAATTAATTTAGTATCAAAAGCATTGCATAAATTAGTATAAAACTGACAAAAATAGAAGGAGTGCAGGAGGCTAAATATGTTGTGACCAAAAACGGGCAACAGCAGCGGGTTTGTCTGTAGCCTCCAACAATTCTTCCTCTGTATATGAGGCAGGGCATAGTGGACAAGCATACAGATGCGTGGTTGTCTGTTCTGCTCCACAGTCACACAAGGTGGAAGATTCACTATATTACTTCACTGTAGAAGTAATGTAGTTTGACACCTTACCAATCATTGTTCAATGCTATGGAATCATGGGAATTTTAATTTTACAAGGTCTTTAACCTTTGCCAGAGTGCTGGTAACACACCAAATTACAAATCCCAGGATTTCACAGCATTGAACCATGGCAATTAAAATAGTGTTGAACTGCATTAATTTTACAGTGTAAATGCACTAAACTGGTTTAGCAACAGGAATTACCTGTCACTAACCTAGTTTCCCTATATATATAAGAGAAGTATTGAAACACCAAGGTTCATCCATAACTTTAACATTGCCTCTTTTTAAAATCCCACCACCAGGTAGAATCACAGCTTGTTAACCAGGATGACACAGCCCTGAATGGAATCCGTCTGTACTGCACTGATGGCTCTGTAATTGAATCTACAGTTGCACCGTGAGTAAAATTTGAGATTTTTTAAAAAATCTTCTTCCTCATTGGTTTTGTTGTTTAGAATATCACGACTGGAGGAGATGGCTGAAATATTTTTGTTAGGTTGGCCAAGACGATGAAACGGATGAGGATTGGAATGAGAGGATATAGCTCTTTTAAAATTGTTATTGCACTGTCTTTTTTTGTCTAAATGCACTTAATTGTTTTTGCTTTTTAAATGTATGTATTGATGGCATCGAATTGTGCCGATATGTAGACCGCCCTGAGTCGCCTCCGGGCTGATATGGGCAGGATATAAATAATGTAAATAAATAAATAAATAAATAAATAAATAAGGTTAGCCAACCTTCCAGCTGTCAACCCATTCTATTCTACTGGTTTAAAATTTCTCACCATTCTCTCAAAGCAAGATCCAAGGCAGCTTACAATAAATTAAAAAATAATAAAGTAAAAAATTAATAATTTTCAAAAGTTAAGAAAAGAAATACAAATAATATTGTCAAAACTTGATCATTATAGTTAAACTATTTAAAATATAATTTAAAACATTGTAAAAACATTAAAACACTAAAAAAAAGCTCCCCCCCCCCCCAACTGCACACACCCACACACAGGGCAGATCCAAAAAGGCCTTTATCGCAGGAGAATCCGTATTTTAAAAACACGGATTTTCTTGGGAGCCTGTCCACACCCACCCCAGAAAGCACACGTTTTCTGGGGTGGGTGTCCAGATGTTATCTTGGGACTAGCCCGGGAGAATGTCTGGAGGTCCTCCCCCCTCCCACTAAGCCCCCAGACCACTTTGAAAAGTAATGAAAACTTACCCAGCCTCCATTACAAGCTTCGAGCAGCTCTCCCAGCACAAGTAAATGTTGTGCCAGGAAGGGGGGGGGGAGGGGAGCCTGGTAAACTGTGGGAATGGTCTGTAGTCCAGACACCAGAAGTAGTGGGCTTATCCCGTATCTTCCAAGAATAGCGGAATAAATCCACTATCTAAATAATTCACTGTCCAAAATGTTGTCTGGACAGTCCCTCCTTTATTGCGGTTGTCTGGACGGGCCCACTCACACATAACAATTCTGTAATTTAAAAAAAATACAATTCAAATTTATGTCTGAATAAATATGACTTCACTCCTGGTGAGAAGAGAGCAGGGAGGGGGCTAACCAGACCTCCCATGGACAGTCCAGGAGCAGCCATGAAAAAGGCTTTCTCCCAACCCCTCTCCAACCATGACTGTGAAAGTACTGGCACTGAGAAAAAGTCTTCTCTTGCAGATATTAGTTTGTGTTGGTTTATATGATTAGTCTAGACTTGGGCTCCTTAAACTTTTTCTACTTGCCTAATAAATGTTTATGTGTAACAGGGATATGGAGGAGCATTCATTTGACAGCAATAACAGTTAGGGTATTCCTAACTGTTATACATAAAAATAAAAACCACTTAAGTAAAACAGAATGGCCCTCAGTATCTGCTGGGGTTTGGTTCCATGACCCATGATAGGTACTGTTCTATTATCCGGGCGGAGGCCAAAAAGGGGCCTTGACAGAGAAGGATAGTCCATTTTACATGGGGTGGAAGAGTGAGGTGGGGGTTATTCTCCCCACTCATGTTGCCGTCATCCAAACAACTGTTGTTTGTGACATGGGAAGTAGGGGAGGGGGGGGGGGATAACCATCAAAAACAGGAGAAATGGGTTGCTGTAAGTTTTTCAGGTTGTATGGCCATGTTCCAGAAGCATTCTCCCCTATTAGGTTTGGAGAGAATGCTTCTGGAACATGGCCATACAGCCCGAAAAACTTACAGCAACCCAGTGATTCCGGCCATGAAAGCCTTTGACAACACAGGAGAAATGGTTTTCCTCCATCAACTCCCCTGCTGTAAATTGACTATCCTTCTCTGTCTAAGTCCCCTTTTGGCGTTTGCCTGGATAATGGAACAATACCCCATGATATACAAGGGTGTAGTAAAATGATGTCCTTTATACAAAATGGCAAAGTCAGAGTTAGCTGTTGAGACAGAGATAGATATTTAAGCTGTGGATAGTTGATTTAGTAGATGCAGAGGGCCCACCCTATTGCATGCCAAACTCTGCAGGAAGATGAAGGTGCAATTCTTAAAGTAACATTTTTTCCAATTTCCTTCAAGCAAAGGGGTGCAGCTGGGGAGAAGGAAGGGCTCTAAATGCATGGAGAGGCTGGCAGGTTTTTTTCCCCTCCTTCTTCACCTTGACATATTTCCTTTGTCTTTCCTTATCCCTCATTCATCTCTCCTCCTCGTCCTTTTCTACCGGTGGTTTCAAGAACTTGAAAAGTAGGGAAAGAATATTTAAATCCTGTGGCTGCCTCCTGCAAAATCCTGGAGTTTGCAGTTTAGGGAGAGGCCTCTAAACCGCTCAGCCAGGGAGGACTTGGACCTCGCTGAACTAAAAATACTCCAGAATGCTGAAGGATGCAGTGACATGATTTAAACACTCTTTTATCTACTCCTTAAGCTCTAGTGTGATGAGGTCCACATCATCCGCTTGGCTAGCTGTCTTCCCTGTTTCCTTACCCTTGGCAAAGCCATGGGGGTGGGGTGGGAGCCTCTTGACCCCTTTGGGGTCAAGTTGAACAGTTTATGTAACTCTGGCATAGACTAGTGGTTCCCAAATGTATTTTCAGAACACCATCGCCCTGAAAGCTTACCTTCTTTTAGCGAGCAAACAGAAAGATGCAATAACAAATTTGCATTATTTTATGTGTTTTTATGTATTTCTACCTTCATCCTACATGGTAAAGAAATATGTTGTAGTAAATTAGACACCTTGTTGTAGTAAATAAGACACCCTTGAAGCCTTGAATTATTTATTTATTGAAACCAACCATAATAATATTAGCATTACACACAGAAAATTAAGATAGTTAATGTTAATACTAAAACAAAAAACTACAAATTACATTTTAAATGATCCCAAATGAGAAGGATGAACCTGCTGTACTGCTATCAATTGATTAATGATCAGCTCTATTTTTGTCAGCAGCTTGAATTAAAATGTGCAAATTATTATTGAACCTGCAATACTGTTAGCTGCTTGTTGCACAATTCAGAAACTTTGATTGTGATTTCATATATTTTGTGTTATTTATAGTTTCATATTGAAAAGAAGTTATTTGTGTTAATTCATGCTGGATTTCCAGACAATGAGTGACACACTTGTCTGCCAACAATTGTCAGCAGGTCAATTATAACTTGTATTTGTGTGGTTATTTGATTTGTTTTTAATACTAATGATGTTTAATAATGTTTTAATATTGTAAAGTTGCAAATTTTAGATCACATTGTGATGCTTTTAATGTTAGCCGCTTTGAGTCTCTTGCAGGAGAGAGAAAGCAGGATATTATTATTATTATTATTATTAATAATAATAATAGGAATAATTCAGAAAATAAAATAATCACTATGACTTTGACTTTATATCACACAACAAATAAAATACCAACATATTTGAATAGAGGATGAAAGCTTCTGTTTTCTAGAGAATCGGAATATTGTATTCTAGTCAAATTAGATAAACTAATTAAATTACAACACAAATTCCAGGAAACCAACATGTCATAATTGTATGGTGTGTTTGAAATCTGACATTTGTGTATCTTTGAAGTCTTTTTTTCTTCTTTAAAAGTAAACACTTAATTTTGATTCATCTTTTTTGTTCCGGAGATCTTATGTTTTGTTGTAGAGCATCTATTGCAAAGAATTGCTCAAAGTGACATTTAATAACTTCATGGAGTCATAAGCCAACAGTGACTTAAGAGTGACTCCTATTGAACTTAATGGGGATTACTACAGGCTATCCATTAAGTTGACACTGTTAAACATGTAAATGATGAATATTATTTGTAAAACGTTTATGTATTTGTCAGATCTAACATTAGATATGTCATATGTGAGGGGACTCGGTACTAAAAAATCGAAATCTGCCTGATCTTATTGTGACAGGGACAATGAAATCACAGTGAACCAACTCTGTCACTCCTTTCTTCCTCCCAGGGCCCTTCCACACAGCTCTATATCCCAGAATATCAAGGCAGAAAATCCTACATTTTCTGTTTTGAATTGATATATGGCAGTGTAGACTCAGATAACCCAGTTCAAAGCAGATAATGTGATGTTTTCTGCCTTATATTCTGGGATATAGGGCTATGTGGAAGGGCCTCCAATGACCCAGGAAACTTATCTGGTGGTGGGCAGTAGCTCGGTGGTGGGAGTAGCAGTGTAGGCTACTGCTTCTTAAACTATTGTCCCAACCCAAATAGAGTCCCACAAGACAATGGGGGGGGGGGGGTTTACAAAATTTTTGGCAATAATCAAAGGTTTCCAGACTCCACCCAGTGGCTGTTTTAGACATTTATCCAAGCCTGTTACTAACAACATGCAGTGTTTACAATGGGCTCTGCAGATAACGCTATACTTCCTAAAAAAAAAAAAAAATCAGTCTGTTTAGAAAGCCTTGAAAATACTGATTTATTTTCAGTAAATGTCTGATTTTTATACATTTTAATATATTTATATACCTGGTGCCATGTAAAAAATTTCTCAGGTGGCTCCTTGTTTGGTGAACTAGAAGTCTAGGTTCCAGCATCCCTCGAGAAAAAAAAATGAAGCTTGTTTATTCTGTCAGGAAAGAATGACATCTCGTGCTTTGGGCATCTCTTTGGGATATATGACATCCAGGATATTTTTTACTGGAAGTGAACCAGTGCTTGGAGTTTTAATCCTTGTGTTGTCGAAGGCTTTCATGGCTGGAATCACAGGGTTGCTTTGAGTTTTCCAAGCTGTATGTCCATGTTTCAGAAGCATTGGTCAGGAGAGAATGCTTCTGGAACATGGCCATACAGACCGGAAAACTCACAGCCATCCAGTTTTTAATCCTGTTTTCATAAAGGGATAAACTTATTTTTTGGGACCTGAAGCTCCTATTGCTGCTTGTGACCACAGAAGCCTAGAGAAGAAGGGAAGGACAGCAGTAACAATAATTTTAAAAGTCTTTTATTGAAAAATGGATATGAAATACAGTGTATGAAGGAAAGTTTTCAAATCAGATAATGCCACTGACAAAACAGCCACATTATCAAAAATATCCACCCTGTTTTCCTCAAGCCCTAGCATGATTTTTCAGGATGCTTGTAAAATAAGCCCTACCCATAAAATAAGCCCCAGTTAAGATAATTAGCCAGACAGATGCATTTACTAGTAGCAAGGCCACTGCAACACATTATAAAATAATAATAATAGAATTATATAATAATAATAATAATAATAAATTAAATATAAATAAATAATACTATTGACAAATATAATGACAATGTTTCAGAATATGAGTTGACTGTATTTGAACGAATGTAGATTTTGTTCATAAATAAATGAATAAATGTAGATTGTTGAACATGAAAAACATAAGACATCCCCTCAAAATAGGCCATAATGAATCTTTTAGAGCAAAATGTAATACAAGACCTTTTCCCCCATGGAAATATGGTAATACAGGGTCAAGGTCTATTTCAACCCAATGCTTTACTCTATATAGTACCATGAAACAATGGGGTTTATCTTTTTGGATCCACTGATTGATTGCAGTCTGAATGGAATAGATACAAAACACCCAAGGCATTGTGAGCATTTTCTCCTGGGGCTGCTAGTGTTGCAAGCTGCTAGTTTTGTTGCCTGTTGTAAGCCACCCTGAGTCCTCCCCTCGGGGGTGAGAAGGATGGGATACAAATATGCAAAATAAACAATAAATAAATAGTGCATTTCATACTGACAACATTGGTTTCTTCACCAGGTGGGGAACTTGGACATCCATTCAGTATTGTCCAAAAGGCAATCTGATCTCTTATTCTCTGAGAGTGGAAGAGCATCAAGGGAGTGGTGATGATACATCCGCCAACAATTTCCAGGTTACCTGTGAAGACGGAACTAGACTTATGGGCCAAGGAAATCACTGGGGTAGCTTTGGCCCATGGAGTCGCCGTTGCTCCTCTGGGTCTGTGTGTGGGATCCAGACAAAAGTGGAGGGTTATCAAGGGAGGGGTGATGACACAGCCCTTAATGATCTCCGATTGTTCTGCTGTAGATGAACAAGTATTTCCACTCCTATAAGTGGCAGTGTCTCCAAGAGTTTAACCATGTATGTTAACCACATTTTCATAACGATCTGAGAATTGTGTGCCTGTACCCGTGTGGACCTCATTCACCAATAGGGCAGAAATATGTGGGGATTGGTTAACAAACATTGAGATAGAGCTTGAATATCCCATATCCAAAATGCTTGGATTTTGTGTGTGTGTGTGTGTGTGTGTGTGTGTGTGTGTGTATATATATATATATATATATATATATATATATATATATATATAAAATTCAGGATGCTTGTATTTGCATAATGAGATATCTTGGAAATGGGACCTGAGTCTTAAGATGAAATTCATTTATGTTCCATATATACCTTGTACACAAAGCCTGAAAATGATTTTAACATTGTAAAATAATGTAATAAGTTTGTGCATAAAACAAAGCATGTGCACATTGAGCCATCAGAAAGCAAGGGTATCCCAATCTCATTTTTGTCCTTATGTCTTCTGGGGAAACATTATTTTTCTGTTCAAAACACTAAAATATATGATTTTTGCAATACATTTTAGGCTCCTTGCAATCCATTCTATTGCTTTCCATCCCTACCTTGATGACAACTGTTGCACATACACTCATGAACTCCAGCCTCCCCAATTTGCCCTGACAACCAGTTCCCTCTCTACCTCTACCTCAAATCAACAAATAACAGCTCCTTGAGTTTCCTGCCACCACGAGGACCAATCACCAAACTGCCTCATGGATCCAACACTAATGACAGTCCAGATCCTAGCTGAGCTAGTTTTCAGCCAATCAGAGGCTGGCATTGATGTTTTGAATAGCTATTAAAAGTGTATAAATATGTCGGATTTATGTGATTTTAAATGTTAATATTAAGATGTTTTAATTCTCTGTTTTGAATTGTCTAAATCAGGGGACCTCAAACTTTTTAAACAGAGGGCCAGGTCACACTCCCTCAAACTGTGGGAGGGTCAGATTATAATTTGCAAAAAACAAAAACAAACGTGAATTCATATGCACACATCTTATTTGTAGTACAAAAAAATACTTAAAAACAATACAATAATTAAAATTAAAAACAATTTCAATATAAACTTATTAGTATTTCAATGGGAAGTGTGAACCTGCTTTTGGTTGATAAGATTGTTCTTGTCTGCTTTCAAGTCGTTTCAGACTTAGGTTGACTCTAAGCAAGGGCCAGGTAAATGACCTTGGAGGGCTGTATTCAGCCCCCAGGCCTTAGTTTGAGGACTCCCTGGTCTAAATGTTACTCACATTTTATGTTTAATATGATCTTAATGATTTTAATTTATAGTTATATGTCATTGTTTTAGTTATATGCTTTGTTTGTATGTATGTTGGCATTGAATTTTGCCATTATTTGATGTACACTACTTTGAGTGGTGAGAAAAGCGGTTTATAAATGTAGTAAATGAATAAATAAATAAATAAATAAATCTTTGAGAGAGCAGATTCTGACATTTTGTCCAGCCTGAAAGAAAGAAACCTCTGTTCCTGTTGCCTTCAAACCCGCTTTATGTCCTGATTTGACCTTTGGAATAGTGACGCACGCTGAGCTCTGAACTCATGGTCTTAGTTGATAGCTGAAATCACTCCAAGTGGGAAATGGCAGTGAGGGCCATTTGCTAACAAATCCTAATGCTAGTTTGGTTTGAGGGGGTGTGATTGCTACACATATGTGATGGTAAATGTGCATATTGGTTGGGCTGAATGGGGAGTAGTTATTGCCAATTGGGAATCTATTGTTGTTGAACATATGTGTACGGGGGCTGCAAAGTGATCTGTCTTGAATTGCTTAAATGACTTTTTGTATCTCAGCTACCTAAATATCCTGATGTTTTTGAAGTATTTTAAATTTTATCCAACATTCGGCATCCCATGACATCTGTCCCGTTTAGTAGGTTTTTTGATGCCTGTGTCATAGAAGTCTCCCTCCACCTTTTTCAGCCAGTTCGTCACTTTGATTTTCACCTCGTCGTCATTGGAAACATGTTTCCCACCCAGGTGTTCCTTTAATTTAATGAACAGATGATAGTCAGTGGGTGCAAGATCAGGACTGTGAGAGGGATGTATGGCTTAAAACATCCCAACAAAATGAAGTCAACAACTCTTGTGTTGCACGAGCAGTGTTCGGACATGCATTGTCATGAAGGAGACAGACTCCTGCCATCAGCATCCCATTATGTTTGTTTTGGATGGCTCTGTGAAGTTTTTTCATGGTCTCACAATATCTTGCAGCATTGATTGTGTCGTCTCTTTCCAAAAAATCAACAAGCAGAACCCCTTTTCTGTCCCAAAACACTGACACCACAATTTTTCTTATGACGAATCACAGCGGTATTCAAACCCTTAACATTTAGTTAGCGTATTACAGTGTGAACTTCATACTTGGCGGGAAACAGAATGAGGACACTAATCTCTAACCTTCGTCACAACGCCAGTCGATGAGCTACTGATGACTGGCACTGCTCACTTGCTTCTGCTGGCTTCCCATTACACAGCAGTGATACCAGCTTCCCCCGTGAAAAGTCTCCATGAAATCTACATGTCTTGTAACCTTTCTTTCCAGATAATCCTCATATATCCATACCCATATATCTATATCTATCTTTTTCTGTTGGTGGTACTGAAATTAGTGTGTACCTCACAATCAATGGCATTTTAGTATTGAAGAAATATGGTATATACACTAATTGGCTAGTTTTGCTGTCTCCCACATTCATTATTTCCCACTCACATTCATTTTCTCTCTCCACATTGATGTTCATATTATTTATCTTGAGTTCGTACTCAACGTTTTAATAAAACGAACAAACCGAGCAAAATTCACATCCATTCAAGCCTCCAACATTTTGGAAATAAATATTCAATTGATGTACAAAATTATTACAGTAAATATGCTCGAAACCCATTTGGTTGTAAATTAGCATCTAAATGTAACATTACTCAGAGGAACTAACTATATTCCACTAGTCAGAGTCAAATAATAGTCAAAGTCAAATAAAGGAAACCTGATACAGTAAGTTCTCATTTGTTCCTTGCTCCAGTTACCCCAGCAATTTAAATAGGACAATCTATTTCGTGATCTTAGATATCCAGCAATTCCATGGTGTGCCTTCCTTTCTGATGTTCCTCCAAAGCCACAAAGGGAGAAGATGTACCTTTCAGAGTTCATAGAAAGCCATCATGCTTGAAATCAATTGCTATCACTAGGCTCATTTCCTTAGTACAGTCAGCGCTCCACATTCCTTGGGGTTCAGAGAACAGAATCCCTTGAAAAACCACAAAAATGCTATCTTTTTAATCTGAGAAAATGCCTTTCTAGGCATTTTCTCCAGCACAACTCTGTGATCAATGTCCACTGGAAGCTGACCATAATATCATAGTGGAAGGACCTAGAAATCTCTAGAAAGGGGTTCTCTCTAGAAAAGTCTAGGTCTTCCAGTGAGATTCTATGGTCAACTTCCTAAATACTTAAAAATCCCTAAAGATAACATTTTAAATCAAATCCATAAATAACCAAATCTGCAAAAGTCAAACCTCCAAATGTAGAGGGCCAACTGTAGATCTTAGAGCAATCTGAAGTTATTGTTTCTGACTTATGGCAACTCTATTGCAGACTTTTCTTGGCAAGATTTATTCCTGTCTCAAACCTATTATTAACAAAGACCAAAAAAAGTGATTTTTCTACTACTTAAATGGATATTTTTGATGACCTGGAAATGGTCTTTTTGTGTGTGTGAAGAGACTGAACTCCATTATATTCTGCTACTGAAAACAAATTGCTGATGTTCATGGAGGCTCTCTGATATTTAATTCCAAAGGGTTTGTATTCAATTTTTGTTTTCTCAACCATAATTAGAGATTCCACACTTCCGATGGGGAAATTTGAACTTTATTTCTGCAGTCATCCCCATCACCACCTCAAATCTGCACATGTCGGATGATTTGGGGTGAGAAGAATGCAGGAATTGAAAGATTGTATTGTGCTTACTTTCAAATATAGAAAATGTAGCAGGAATTTGCACACTATATACTTAATATAACCTATAGTTTGTTGTTGGAAAGCCAACGTGGTTTACTGCATCATCACACTAGTCTCGAGCATGGATTCACTTGAAATCCGGTTGCTGCTTCCTGCAGAATTCTGTGGTTTGTAGTTTGAGACCCAGGACCTGTCTGGCTGACCAGTTTAAAGCCCCCTCCCTAAACTACAAGCCCCAGAATTCTGTAAGAAGCAATAACTGGATTTAAAGTGTGATGAGATCCAAAGTGGTTTTAGTACTGGACTATGACTCTCGCAAATACGCTTGCATATGCAGGTATATATTTAATTATGCAAGTCTGCCTGTCAAATCAAGGGTTGTGTACCACAATCAATGCATTACTCTAATGCAGAGAGTTATACTACAGAACCTTGATGTAGGCACTCATCCAATCCATATATCTTTTCAACCAAGTTTGATATGATGGATTTTAAAAATTAAAACAAATAAATAAAAGTAGATCCAAATTGCCTCTGTATCAAAGGACTGTCCACCTTGTCACAAAGGGCTAAATTTGGCAGCATGTGGCCCATCATACTATGCCAACACGGCTCTGTGGGTGAAGGAGGATGGAGCTGTTGCATGCTGCCACCATGGCAACATGGGAGGCTTATCATGTTGCCATTGAAATCCATTGGGGGGGGGGGAAGCCGTATGCTCCATAAGCTCCCCACGCTTCCCCCCATGGGATCAGTTAGAAGAGGAGCCAGGCAATGCAGGGTGTGGGGTGCCAAGTTCCTCATGCTCCCCCCGCCATGAAGTGGTGCAATTCCATCAGCCACGTGACAAGTCTAGTATTTCAAAATATGTAGAAGCGCTAAAACTGAAGAAGCTTTGCAGTTATACATCTTGTATATTGTGAATTAGGTCAATTCATTTTAACATATAAATTTTGTCTTTGTTCCATCACTGTTCTTTTTGTTGTAGCCATTTCCATAGTGAGAGAACTAAGAACCATGGCATTTCTTTTGGATTATGGAGCTGGAGCATACATATTAATGTATTATTCAGTGCTTGCCACTCCCTCCCTCTTCTATCTGTCTATGAAAAGTGGCTATAATTTATCTTAGCAAAGCTGGATCTGCTATTCCAAAGAGGAAGATGTCTATTTTTGG